CATAAGGAGCTATTTAAACAGTCAGACAGTAAGCATTATAGGACAATGATAAAAGGTTGAGTTACATTTAATCCTTTACTATTAAAAATGCACTTATACATTATATGATTATAGGAAACACAGATATCCAGTAATAAAGATGCAGGGCAGCTTGTAGGTGAAGCAGCTGGCCTTCAGTGCTTCAGGTGATGTCTAAATAAACCAGGTGATACTAAAATATTTCCTCTAGATGAGTTCTGCAGGAAGAATATTGACAGACAAAAACGTTTTTTTTTTTTAATCTTATATATTATATATATATGTTGTATTTTTAAAATTTTGGTATAATTACTGATCTAAGTGGCTCTGTCGGAGAAAGGCATATTTTTAATTTTTATTATGTTTTAGAGTCTCTATACTCCAGTTAATGATGAATCACTCACTAAATTAGTTGACGATTGTTGAAATAATCAATTAATAGGCTACGATTCATTTTTTCAGTACCAGATAAAATACATGAAATGGGCTACACAGAGTAACTATAGCCCAGATGTTCCACTTTTATAGTGAAGTTAATATTTTAATGAATGTATTATTTTGCTTGATACAGAGAGAGCATAGTAGGTAAAAATATAAGAGTGGGGTTTAACTCTGCACCATTCTATATCTTCAGAAGAAAATACTGTATTTACCTTCTCTCTTAGTCGTTCAAATGAAACCATTTTCAAAGTGGAAAACAGTCCTAATTCCACATTGATCAGAGCCGGTGATACTTCAAACATTGATAAACAGCATCTAATGAATGTAGTGCTTATACAATTTTTATTAATGTAGCAAAATGATGCTTTTCTCTTTTAACAATGAATTCCTCTTATCAGTACGGATCCTCACACCATGCATAAAAAAGGACATGCATATTGCATAGCACCAATGACAACCGACTGATAGTGTCCCTACCAAAGTTCAATTCAAACCTACGCCCTTGGACAGCAGGCTTAGTGGATGAGGGAAGCAGAGACAAGACGTGGTACCGGAACCTCAGCAGGACTTTAAAATGGTCTTCTTCTACAAGCCAGGCTTGGAACAGGAATACAATTGACTCTCTCAGCGCTCCAAGCAAAAACCCTGAGGGCTAGGCTGAGAAGGATCAGGAAACGATCAGAAGACAGGACAAACACTAAAACCATCTCTACTCACTGGCCGCCAGTAACCAGGACATGAACCGTGGAACAAAACTAAAAATGACCAAACAGAGCACAAGACACAAAACAATGATTTGGCCCCGATCGATCGGGCTGAACCGAATATACAGCACAGACGCAGGTAAAAACTTAGGAACCCGGCAGAACTATGTAGATGAGTGAAATTAACATTTAGGGTGAAGCTATCAGGTCAGATCATGACATAAACATCAAAAATAATAACAAAGATATATGACTGTATACTAGGATCAAAGTGATAACTTACCGGTCTAATAATAAAACTGAGAAAAGAGAATTGGTTTTACATCTGGCTTCTTCTTTCAGCCTGCACCAACATACAAACCTTGAGCACGATCCCTTTCACGTTTTCTCATTTTACCCTGTTCAGAAGGTTTAAACTTTATCCTTGCCTCAGCCATGAGCAGTAGAAGAGCAGATGGAAAAATAGTAAAGCAAAAGCCTGAGCTCCTTCCATCATTTAAAATAACCCATATGCATCAACTCTTTAGGTCACAAAGTCTGCGGTGCGCCTTTACCAAACTGTTTCTGCATGTACAGATGGTCAAACACTGATTGAGTCTCAGCCACTGGTTAAAAGACCTGGATAATTCTACAGACTGACTTGCACACATTCAGATTTTGGTGATACTCACATCATTTGCACAGTAGTGTATATATATATAAACATAAACACACACATATATATATATATATATATATATATATATATATATATATATATATATATATATATATATATATATATATATATATATATATATATATATATATATATCAGACATGGGCAATGTGGAGTCAACAAGTCATCCATGTCATGTATTGGTTCTACGCAGCCACTGAAGCAGGGGAGTCCAATCTTCACCGTGAATTAACCTGTGCAGATTGGACTCACCTGGTTAATTGGCTGGGTAGATTAAATACATGACATGGAGATGACTTGTTGACTCCACATTGCCCATGTCTGATATATATATATATATATATATATATATATATATATATATATATATATATATATATATATATATATATATATATATATATATATATATATATATATATATATATATATATATATATATATATATATATATATATATATATATATATATATATATATATATATATATATATATATATAGGCACATGGCTCAATACATGCACCCTGCCCAGAAGGGAATAGGAAGCAACACCAGAGGAGCCAAGCACCAGCTACTAGTGGATAAAGCAGTCACCCGAGACTGTAAGACCAGGCAGACAAATCTGTGCACTGCCTGGATTGACTATAAGAAAGCCTATGACTCAATGCCACATACATGGATACTGGAATGCCTGGAAATGTACAAGATCAACAGGACTCTAATAGCCTTCATCAAGAACTCAATGAAGCTGTGGAAAACAAGTCTGGAAGCCAATGCAAAGCCAATAGCACAAGTCACCATCAAGTGCGGCATATACCAAGGCGATGCACTATCCCCGCTGCTGTTCTGCATAGGCCTGAACCCCCTCAGCCAGATCATCACAAAGACTGGCTACGGATACCAATTCCGAAGCGGAACAATCATCAGTCACCTCCTCTACATGGATGACATCAAGCTGTATGCCAGGAGTGAGCGAGACATCGACTCACTGATCCACACTACCAGGATCTACAGCAACGACATTGGGATGTCATTCGGACTGGACAAGTGCGGTCGCATGGTCTCAAAGAGAGGGAAGATGATCAGAACCAAGGGGGTTGAACTACCAGAAGGCCACATAACAGATGTTCAGGACAGCTACAAATACCTTGGGGTGCCACAGGCTAACGGAAACCACGAGGAGATAGCAAGAAAGACTGCCACAGCTAAATACCTACAAAGAGTAAGGCAGGTCCTGAAAAGTCAGCTGAATGGGAAAAACAAGATCCAAGCCATCAACACATATGCCCTACCAGTCATCAGATACCCCGCTGGTATAATAATCTGGCCAAAGGAGGAGATAGAGGCTACTGACATCAAGACGAGAAAGCTCCTCACAATGCATGGAGGGTTCCACCCCAAATCCAGCACTCTGAGACTGTACACCAAGCGTAGCGAGGGAGGCCGAGGGCTAGTGAGTGTCAAGACCACTGTCCAGGATGAAACAACTAAGATCCAGGAGTACATCAGAAAGATGGCCCCCAAAGACAAATGGCTTGGTGAGTACCTCAGGCAGGAGAAAACCGAAAGTGAGGACAAGAAAGAGGAAGGAGAAACATCATGGAGGGACAAGCCGCTGCACGGCGTATACCACAGACAAATAGAAGAAGTGGCTGATATCAAAAAATCCTACCAGTGGCTGGAAAAGGCTGGACTGAAGGACAGCACAGAGGCACTAATCATGGCAGCACAAGAACAGGCACTCAGTACAAGATCAACAGAGGCCAGGGTCTACCACACCAGGCAGGACCCCCGATGCAGACTGTGCAAAGATGCCCCTGAAACAATACAGCACATAACAGCGGGGTGTAAAATGCAGGCAGGAAGTGCATACATGGAACGCCACAACCAGGTAGCTGTCATAGTGTACAGGAACATCTGCCATGAGTATGGGCTGGAAGTCCCAAGGTCAAAATGGAAGACACCTCCTAAGGTAGTTGAGAATGACCGAGCTAAGATCCTATGGGACTTCAAGATCCAGACTGACAAACAGGTGATGGCTAACCAACCAGACATCGTGTTGATCGACAAACAGCAGAAGAAGGCAGTAGTGATAGATGTGGCAATCCCAAGCGACAGCAACATCAAGAAGAAAGAACACGAGAAGCTTGAGAAATACCAAGGACTGAAGGAGGAGCTAGAAAAGATGTGGAAAGTAAGAGCAGCAGTGGTGCCAGTGGTAATTGGAGCACTGGGGGCTGTGACCCCCAAACTGGGAGAGTGGCTACAGCAGATTCCAGGTAAAACATCAGAGGTCTCTGTCCAGAAGAGCGCAGTCCTAGGAACAGCTAAGATACTGCGCAGAACCCTCAAACTCCCAGGCCTCTGGTAGAGGACCCGAGCTTGAGGATGACACATACCACCCCACGAGGGGTGAGAAAACAGTAGTAGTATATATATATCACTTTCAACAATACATTCACTCTAATACCATGTGGTGTTAGGTTCAAACTTTTCAGCCTTCCTTAATTATTTGCACATTATTTTATGTTTATGTTAAAGTTTTAGCTTTTACTTATCTGTCAGCAAACTCTTCCTGCAGTAGCTACCTCTACTGTTTGTCTAGGTTACACTTATGTGCACAATAGTACACAGCAGAATCACCCTCTTTCATTGGAAATGTTCGTTATGCAAAAAAAAGAAGAATCTCTTGTTTATATTTCTTTCTATAACATGTTTATGAACTGTATCTTACAACATAGTTATGTACAGATTGTAGATGGACATTTTTGGAATAGACCGACAATTCACTTTGAAGTGGACTGAAAAAATGGTAACCAGTGGAATATTGAAGAGCAGATTTAGTGAACCTTAAATGAAATATTAATGTCATTACTGTTTTGACAAATTCTGTTGATTATTTTGTTTCTCTTTTATTAAATTAAAATACCAAAATAAAATCTTTATTTATTTTTGGTTAAATAAGAATTTTACACCATAGAGCTTGAAAAACCAATATAGTAAATGTTTTTTTTTTAATATTTAATGCTAAATCAACTTCATTAACTGTTGTGTTTCTTTTATTTTTGCTTTCACCTTCCCATCTGAGGGTGGAGTAGGTATTAGTACTAAGGTTTTTTACTGTGATATACGGGGTTGGCACACAGATATACACCAATACAAAAACCTCAGAATAGAAACCTGAGAAAATAATCCTTCAGTATGCAGAGAAAAACTGATAGAAAACCATGTTTATTTGAAGAACATCAGGTAAGTGTTATATGCATCTATACTGATTTGAGAAGTTACACAATAAGATGATTAAATTAGTTATACTGAGAAAATTATTGTGAGTGAACCTTCATTCAAAAATCCGATTTAGAATCAACAACTTTATATTAAAACTATTTCACAACTATACCAGGCTCACTAAGACTTATTCTAGATAAATTCAAGATATTTAATCTATGTTTGTTTGTTGCAAAAATTAACCCATTTTTCTTGCTGCTGCATTGGTGCATTCAGGTTTTTGTTAATTAAGTCATTAGAGATGTAACACTGTGATGCTGGTTTTGACTACTGGGGAGATGGAACTGAGGTTACTGTTGTTCCAGGTAAGAAATTTTAAAATATTACTTAAATGCCGCTTCTCCTACTATTCCCTTTAAAATATTTTGATGCAAAATTTTGATTTTGAGTTTGATTCTATAGTTAGTAATAGTTATAGTATAATTCTAAAACTAACTGTTAAATCATGCAAAATTATGCATTTCAGTTTATTTTTGTTTTACTCTCTGACTGTATTTATTGCTTATTTTGGACCAGATCACAGTGCAGTTAATAATGAGTACTTGTTGACAGCTGGAATCTGTACTAAATGTATATGAATATTGTCTATTTGTCTGATCAAAAACAATTATCTGTCAAAAGTTTTTTTATAGGGGAACAGTATGAAAAAGTAAGGTGAAATTGGGCTAATAAATAATGGGAAGTAGATGGAAAACAAAATAAATTAATATTGAAAAACTAAATGGGCTCATGCCGTTTTGAATCACTAATTATATAGTGTTTTTTTTTTTATATTTTGTATTTATTTAAAAAAAGAAATAGAGATGTCTTAATATTTTATTCTAAAATATCAGTAATAATCAAAGGGATTCTTTAAGGGGAAAAGTGGTGCAGCTGCCTTCGTTGTTTCATTGCTGTTCTTTGAAAAGAGGTTAACTGTAATTTGTGCTCTTTTTGACAATATTTATTAGTAAGTGAAAGTTTTTTTAGTTGAGAAAAAAAACAAAAAACATAAAAACCGAATCAAGTCCATAAGAGTTAGGTGTTAAGCCTTCCTGTAACAGCAACATAATGCATCATCCTCATTTATATTTAAAAAAAAAAATGAATTAAATTAAATTAAAATTGGTTGCACACCAACCTTGGCTTTAGTAGTAATTTATATTGTTGTGTATAATTTCACTGCAACACAACTCAATCATTTCCCTCCAAAACTAGTGAATAAATTTAAGCTATGGGGTGAACTTCTCTGTAAGAGGTAACCTAATAAATTATGGTCCCCTAATCTGAGAATTAGTAAACTTGTCTGCCAACTCTGTGCTATATCTGTTTGCTGGAGTTTGAATATGGACCTGGACTTGGAATGTATTTGTCCTGAAATATTCTGTTCCCCTGACTCTTTAAAATGTACATATTCAGATGTAAAATTCAGCGTACAGCAGATTGGTGAGGAGAATATGCTTGTTTGCATCAAGCACAGGTCCCAGCTGAACCTGTCACCAGTAAAAAAAAAATGTTAATTCAGTTTTGATAGTTAAATTAAAGTTAAGTTACATTGAACATCCTCATACACATTTTTCTTATATTGTGAATTTTCCAAGTAGATGAAACAATCAACTAGATATGCTGACATAGATGGAATACATGCACTTAGGTTTTTTTCTGTAATCATATTATCTAAACTATATTATCATGTTCTGTTTAGGACAAGAAACAACAATGTTTAAGTAAAATGATTAAATAAATCCAGCAGATGCTAGATTTTTTTTTCCAGCTCATATTTGCAACAATTAAGTGGGCTTAGAAAACCTGAAAACTATTTTGTTTTTTCTGACTGAAGCTTTACAGAAAAATACCGTTGTGGAAAACAATAAGCTGTAAAGAAGACCTTTTGTTTGAGACAGCAACAGAAGGAAGAACAGAAATTAGTGGAAGTTGTGATCCAGCTGCTGAAACTAAGGATGTAGAAGAAAGTGAAATATCCGTATTTGCTTTACTTTTGAGAAACAATGTATAGTATAAATCTGATAGCAGAGCTGAAGTGTGAAGATTTTATAACTTCTTAGAGTAGAAGCTTTACTTAATGAGTAACATAAAAAATAGTATATATTTCCCAGAATCAGGTACAACTTAAAAAAAACTGAATAAAACACATTTTATTTTGACAATTTAATTTAATGCCAATTCAAGCTAAACCATTTGGCTTTTGAATACTTTTCAGTTTATGAAAATATTTTAATATTCAGTCAGAGGTATATAGATTTATAAAAAGTCCAGCAGAGACAGAGTTACATAGCTAATAGTTAAAGTATATATAATACGTCGCGTTGGAATTTATTGCAGTAAAAATATTATTTAAGGAAGTGATTAGCTCTAATATTATAAACCTGAGGGGGCTTTTTTTTCATAGGACAATAAAGAAAAAAAGATAATAGATTTAACATGTTTAACCACAGTAAAATGGCTTGGTCTTGAAATTTATGAAGTGAGATCAAGTTGATTCTTTTTGGAAAGACGAGACTGTGTAAAACAAACATCCTCAGTAAAGTCAAAACCTTTATCCATACACACTGTATACAGCATACTGTCGTAAACATTTTTTTTTTACTATTTAGTCAATAATTAACACAAGTGCAGGAATGTCTTATGGACAGAAAATATTAATTTTATTTGGCAACTCATTTCATGTTCAACTGAACATCTCTTTTTCCAAATTAAATCGTGTTGTCTTCTTGCCGTCACAGGCGGCCCTGATGTCCCTCCGACTTTGTCTATTTTGAGTCCCCTGAAGGATTCTCGCTACCCCCCGAAGACAGCAGATGAACTTGGTCCAGATGTCTGTCTGGTCACAGATTTCAGTCCGAAGGGGGACAACATAAATCTGAATGTGAAAGGTGGTCAGGTCAACGTCAGCACAGATAATGCTGTTCTGTCAAACAACACCTACGTGTTTGTTGCCTACAGCAATGAAACCATCCACTCCTGTGACATGAATGGAAAGTTCAGCAACAACGAAGCTGGTAAATAAACTATTAAAGTTCTGTCTATAGTTCTGATTAAACTTTTGATTTCATAGAGATGAAACTGTCACCTGCTTAAACATCTTTCTATGATAAAATCATTTTTTGAACATATTTTTTTTTTCTGCTATTCAGAAAAAGCCCTAAAATATATACAGTAATAATTAGGGTATAAAGCTCATGTTTTCATCACACGTTTCCACAGACATATAAAAAATGTCCATCAGAGTTTGAGCAATTATTATGTGACTGATGTTCTTTCTGTGTCCTAACAGATTATGCATGTAGAAGCATTTATCCAGGTAAAACTGAACACTTTCTATCTCAGTCTGTTTTCATCACTGATCCTTGTATTCAGGTCTTAATGTTTAATCTGGGCTCTGTTTATTTGCCCTCCAGAAAAAGCCAAGCTGAACTTCTACCTGCTGCTGATGAACGGAGTCCGGGTGGTTTTCACCAAAGCTCTGGCCTTCAGCACCGTCCTCACTATCAGAGGTCTGCTCTTCTGAGGACAAAATACCTGGAAAAGAAAGAAAAAAAAGACAGACAAATCTGAGATTCTTCCTCCAAGATGTGTTCATATTTTGATAAGATTTAAAAAATCTAGCTGGCAAACCAACCAATACAAAGATAAATAAAAGCCAATTCATGTAATGAATAAATATTTTTTCACCTCTGTACAGTTTTTTTTTAAGTTCAGAAGAAAAGGCAATTTGTCTCTGAAAAAATATATGGTTCAAACTTTGAATTCAGTAAGTTTCAATTTCATATTTAAAATGTATGAGTTTCAAATCACGTAATAAGGTAAATAAAAAGAATAATAATCAAGACACCTTTAGCTAGATAAACTTACTTAAAATATTTAAATTTATATGCATGTAGTTTGATAGTCATAGATAAGCATTCTGAAGTTTTTTTTATTGTACGGATATGTTTTATTGAGATTTCTTTATTGAAATAGAGTATACAATAGTTTTAAAAAGTCCTCAAAGCTTCTTTAATCATTTAATAGGACATAGAACTTCAGCTCATTCCTTGGTATTACATCCAGCTATGTTGTGTCACGAATTATATATATATATATATATATATATATATATATATATATATATATATATATATATATATATATATATATATATATATATATATATATATATATATATATATATATATATATATATATGTATTTACTATTGTTTTCCTGTCTTTCCCAAGTATTTTGGGCTTTTTTTTTTTCATTTAAATGTTTCATTTATTTTTTATATTTTTAATATCCTCTTTCCATTGAGTTCCAGTCCGTTTTATCTTTTACATTTTATGTTTGGACAGTTGTTGAAAGACAACAAACATGGGCCATTATCTAAGTTTCTGTATTTATAAAGATTTTTTTCCTTTTGTCTGATAATTTTAATGCTTTTATGCACTTTTTAATATGCCTTAACAATATATTTTTTAAAACCAAAATAGCAATTATTGCAGCCATTATTGTATTATTTACTTTGCTAATGTAACGTTTTTTTTAGTATTTGAAAGAGATGATGAAGGAATATTGCAGTTGAAAAGTCACATCTATTTTGTTTAGGACAACGGTTTCTTCAGTTGAAACCATGTTTCTACAGGAAGTTAAGGTTGGAGATGTAAATCTGACTGAAACCAAAAAGCAGCAAAGTTTCACATCAGCAGAGAAGGTTTTGGTTAACCTCAGCCAGCCCTTTCTTCCTTTCACACAAACTTCTTACAAGCTATTGAAGTGTATGTTAAATTACGGTGTGTTTCTAACTATTATAAATCAAATCCTCCTCCAAGTGTTATAAATAAACAAATACAGACATGTTTTTTAAAAGCTTTCTATCTAAGGAAACAGGATGTAATGCATCCAGTCGTTGATTTTGTGGAGATTGGAGAGTCACTTGCACTGTGTCACTGACTTTGAAGCAATTTTTCATGCCATGCATGCATAGAGCAACACAGCAGAGGATTTCTACCTGACAACAGGGAGAATCCTCAAACAGAACCAGGCTCAGTGTTAATGGCCTTCTGCAAAGAAAGACTGGTGGTTTGAAAACACAGTGCTGCCACAAGGGAGAGAGATGGACAGATTAAAGAATGCTTTGAATGTTTAAAAATGTTAATGGCAGACTAACACCATAGGTGGCTTTATCCTGCAAAAAAACATGGATGAGCTCATCTAGAGAAAGAGGCCACATACAAGTTTTCACAGTAAAAACTGAACCAATAAGAGAATTGAGGTACAATTTAACTGAGTAAGAGAAAGTGGTCTTTATGTCACCCAGCAGCATAAGCCTATAGCAGCATAGCTCTGTATAACCTAAGCCACTCTAAATAAAAGCTTCATTTAAAAAAAAAAGAGCTTTGTCTCTTTCGGTAAATGAGGATGGAATACAAAATGCTGTTGTGTGTCTTCAAGTACAATTTGATGTGCAATTTTATCTAGAGCTAATTAGTATAGTATTAAATAACTAGAACTGGGAGTTATAGTTAATTTAAAAGTCATTCAATTTGAGGGTAAACACAATTAAAGATTATTAGGTACATTATTATAACTGTTATTTTAAGTCTTTTATATAAGGTAGGACTCTTGGACTGGCTGTTTAAAATCCAGTTGCCTTCACCAATTAACTTAGACTATGGCTATCAGCAGAGTTATTAATACCCTATCCATTATGTGATATGGGATCATGGCACCAAGGGTTAGTGCTCAGGATTATTGTTTAGGGGCCAGTGTGGGATTGGGCAAAGACTCTCTCATGGAAATTTTGTTGCATCGACTTCTGTCTTCATAATGAATAGGAAAAGGAGGAAGTGATACTGTAATTGGTGCTAATCAAATTCAGAGACTTTTTCCCACACATAAACTGCTCAACGAAATTAATTTGTTTGTTTTTATTATAGTCCTTTATATTATAACTGGTAAGAATGCATATTTTTATTATAACAAAAATAAAAATAATTTTAATGGTTGCATTAAAGGTAAAGTGAAGGATTGCCTTTCCTAGTTTTCAATCATTCTGGTGATATGTTTAAGTGAGGTATATAGCGTAGTGTATATAGTATATTGTGCGTTTTATGTTGTATATAGCATTAGACTCTGTATTTTGTATATCTTTTTATTTTGTCTTTACCATCAACACCAAGTCAAATTTCTTGTTAGTGCAAACCTACTTGGCATTAAACTTGATTCTAATTCTGAACAGGAGAAATTGGTTCCTGCATGCTCTTGAACGCGTTTAATAGATGTTCTATTTTGGGAGCAGGTATAGGGTTATGCATGTGCATTTTTTTAAGTTTTTAAAAACATTGCGAAAATCCTTCACTGTACCTTTAAAAACTGTTTCTGCAGGTACAGATGATCAAACACTGACCAAGTCTGAACCAGTTAAAAGACCAGGAGAATCCCACAGAGTGACCTGCCCATATTAAGGGTTTGGTTGTACTCCACACATACAGGAGCTTGGATCAGGCAGGAATATCCAATAGGACTAGAATAAATTGCATGGATCTACAGCAGTGGTGGCATTGCAGCAGATTCTATTATCAGTCAGTATGAAACCGTTTCACAATCACCAGAGACAACATGAAAGAGAGAGAACAGTCCTGGCTGGGAATTGTATTGAATAGAATATAAATCCATAACATTGTTTGGTATCCCTGGATGAGCATTGAACATAAAATCCTAAGATCTGCCCCTTCGCAGTGTCCTTACCTGTTTTTTTTGCAGACATACATCACTCATCATCAGAAACAACCAATTAGAGCCAGAAAGAATGTTTTAGTAATATCTTTAACACACATCAAAGCACTGCTCAACCACATTTTTTTGGTGAAAAAAGGAATATTTATTTTTTTTTATTAAACATTTTGGAAACTAGTTGGCCTTGTGATCATTTAGAAATTGCAATGTAAGACTTCACAATACAACTGGTATTACAATATACACTGCAATTCAGTATATTGTAATATTGTAAGCACTACAGAGAAATTTAAAATGAAGCTCAAAACATATATACGCTTTACCTTTATATGTACATGTGATGACTGAATATCAAAATAGGTAAAATCAATGAAATTCACTTCATCCATGTCCAATTTATTAAACCTGGAAAGGTGTCAGAGCATACTGCCTTTCAGTGTGATCAGTAAGATTAGAATTTATATTAAAATCTATTCTCCTGTCTCATGGTTATTTGATACATATAGATTATGAAGTGTTATTTCAAGACTTTGTCTAAAGTGATCTCACTGCATGAAAAGTGGGATTTTCGTCAATATGCGGCACTGTAGATTGTCGTGGAACTTCAGGTTAGCGGCAGTTTACGACAATTTGCAGGCTTCGCCGAAAACTCCCGTAAATTGTCAGAAATTGACGTGGACTTTGTTAGGCAGTGTTCCCCCCATGCCTCCCCCCCATGGAATTCTAGGGGAGGCTTTAACATGTAAATGAACATGCTGTGAGCTATACAAATGCAAATCAGGGTTGCAGGGGGGGTTTTACTCCAAGTGACATTTTTCTAAAAGGTAAGAAAATCTCTGATACAAAGAGATCAGGCTTAGTATAGCCTCTTACATTTTAGCTTGAATTGATTTATTTAATTAAAGTATAGAGACCAAAACAGATCTTTAGCTGACAGAGCAATACATTTAGAGCAGTAATTATAAAAAAAAAAAAAACAGCATTTAAGATAAAAAATAAAATGTTGTCTGTCAATATGCTCAATTCACAATAACTTAAGTGGAAAAGTTTCAAGAAATGAGTCTGAGATGATTCACTTTATAACATGGCGCATTATCCTGTTGGAAGTAGCCATCAGAAGATTGGTACACTGTGGTCATAAGGTCCGGCCAGGTCAAGATCCGCAATTGCAATCGCACCAAACAGGAAAAAGAACATCGACAAATTCAGATTCGTCAAATTAAAATATAGCAGCAACAGATCGGTGACTAGAAATTATAGCACAATTCTTATATATATATATATAAAAAAAAAAAAACTAACACCGTTTATTTAAATGATTGGTTCCAAACTATTGGTTATTCACCAACGAGGAAGCAGATTTCTCATCTCCATCAAAATATTTATTTTAAACCGAGGGACTTAAACTTTAATCAAATCCATTCAAAAGAAACTTCTTATTACAGGAATGAAAAGAGATGTTTGGGAGAAGAGAACAAGTTCATTCAAAAAAAGCAGTTTTGAATTATCCTTATCCCCGTTACAAAAATCTACAAAAATATAAATATATATTTGGGCAGAAACTGAACATATGCTGGATGATGGTGGGATTTTTTTAATATGTCATATTAAATTAAGCGCTCACAGGGTTCATACAGGAATGAGTGACTCTAATTTAATGCTATTTGAAATGATTTTAATGCCATCAACAAGAACCATGTACACAAGTTATTAGTGTACATGACAATGAAGGAGCTGCAAGCAGAGTTCCATGACTCCTGTATACGTAAACACACACACACACACACACACACACACATATATACGTATATATATATCCTCTAGCTTTTTCTCCGCCTGGAGCGATATAATATATCTGACGAAATTGTTTTTATAAGCATTTTTTATTAAAGAATTATAAATACTTCGACAAATATATTTAAATAATTTTAGTGCCAATTAAGGCCTTGATTTAAAAAAAATTAATGATTTTTTAATTATTTTTATTGATCTGCGGAAACCCTGGTTCATCTCGCGCATGCGCTCTACGATCTCCAAGAAACTCAGAGCGGAGCTCTGCAGCCACAGTGGAGGATGTATGCTTTGCTTTGTGCAGGCGGTCTGGAGCGTCTGGATTTCGGGGTAAAACTCCTGTTGGACGCGATGGCGACTCTGCATCGAACAAGACGAACTCAAAGAAGAGATGCTAGCGGTAAATATATGTTCGATTACTGCCTGCTAGGCTAAAAGCAGCCTAGCCTAAGCTACGGCTAATAGTAGCCTAGCCTAAGCTACCGCTAACAGTAGCCTTGCAAGAACAAGCTTTATTAAAGTGTATTTTTTGTGATTCACAGGAAGCAGTACGCCGTCTTCACAACTCGGAGACTAACTGCAGGCGCTATGAACCGGAGCAAGGGTAAGATTTAAAGAATATGCTTTCATTCTGCGGTAAAAGGCAATGGATACGGATGGATACCGATCATAGCTGTACATTTTGTTTTCACAGACTACTGTCGCCTCACAATGAGGCGGTGACCTCCTATTTGCTCGGAGCCATATCAGCAAGTCCAGATTTGCACGATGTTGATAAAGACGACATTGTTTGTAAGTGACTTGTTTTAATGTTTTCTCCTTCCTTGTTACTGTGACTTGCGTTTGATTTTTTATTTATACCACTCTCATTTAATTGTTTTCCAGCTGCCTGTAAGACGTATTTTCAGACGGTACGCAGGAGCTTCAGATATACGCTGCCAGCCAACACGCTGCGTGCGGAGGCTATCTGCTCGGAGTCGGGCCAGAAGAAAGAGGGTAAGACTTTATTTGGTGACTATTTTTCAGGTGCATTGATAGATGTGTTGTGTCCATACGCAGTGCGCTGATTCATTGTTTTTTTTTTTTCAGCTGCTGAAAGCGAGGCAGAGTGTGCTAGCAGATGAGGAAGTGGAACTCTGGAAGTCCGCCGTCGTCGCGGTGTCTCTGGATGGATTGTACGGTCGCCGCCATTTCGTAGGCAGGATCTCACTGAACTCTGTGTTAAGCTGCAGTCCCGGTTAGAAGCGATGCCGAAGTACAGAGCCACGCACAGTAGGCGTCTGCACATCGGACCTGCCTCGGAGGGAATGCTGCCAGTTACCTCCAACTCCGAGGAAGCAAACGGACCGTTCACGGAGTTTTAATTTTTAGAAACGCATGTGTTTGGATACGCGTTGTATATAGTTGTGTGTGTGTGTGTGTGTGTTTCAATAAAGCTCTTTCTTTGCATAAACAGCTTCCTGGCAAATGTTAATTTCCTGTATAAATTCATTCATGTCCTTGATGGTAGCATAATAATTGTGTAGTAGTGTAGGATAACATAAATACACAGCATATGAATGAATAAATATATGAATGAATATATATATATATATGTAAATTTATATGTAAATATATATATATGCCAACCAATCACGAGCAACTTTACTTGTTTAAAAAGAAGTGGTTCCGTCCAATACTCAGTAAGAAAATTAAAGCCTGGCGTGGCCACGTGTGGTTTTGCTGCCAATCACGAGCGATTTCACTTGTTTGAGAATAGTGGTTTCAGCCAATACTGAGAAGGTTATTCAAGCCAGACCTGGCCAGCCGCGCGGGTTTGCTGCATTCATATGCTAATTAGAGCCATTAGTACAGCTGATCGCTCTCCACATACGTCATGGTCCGTTTCCGACAATTTGTGGCACGACAAACGCGGACAAGCACGGGTTGCAAATTGTCGGAAACTGACGAAAATCAGGCAGATCTGCGGGAGTTTACGGGGGTTTACGGGGACGGAAATCTCACTTTTCATGCAGTGTCTCTTTTCAGGAAAAATAACCAGAGAGAGAAAGTTTCAAGGTGTAAACACAGTCAAATTGTCTGTCTGAAATTGTCTGAAATAATTTCCCATTCATTCATTCATTCATTCATTCATTCATTCATTCATTCATTCATTCATTCATTCATTCAATTCTGGTTAAATTATAATGTATTCAGATTAATATTTACCTACACACACCTTTAATGTTTGACAGCTACTGCAATCACAGTTGGGAGATGATATTTTAAAAAAAAATTTACAATCCAAAGCATCTTATTTAATAAAATATTCCTATGATATTTGTTTCTTGGCAAGAATCTGTTTTAATATTACCTATATATTTCAATCACTGATATAGGAACCAAAGAGGAAATTAGATGAACCAAAACCTACAAACAAATCAAAGTTTTTTTTTTGTGGTAGGACTTTTTTTTTTTTTTTACCATAACATTAAGATATTGATGGAAAATATGAACCAAATCAAATGGATACTTAAAGCTATTTGCCAGTGCAACATTATTTTACATACAGTAGTTTGTTTAAGAAAGGTTATCTTGCTGTATTTGTGTAGCTTTTGCTTAACATAAGGACCCCATTATTGTTTGCATGGGGTTTTCTGACAAAGGCCAGTTCTATCTGCACCACTTAATGCTTTTTGCATAATTCAACTTTTAACAATGAATAATATCTAATATTTTTAATATCTTTAATGTAAGGAAATAAATGTAAAAGTCTAAATGAAAAAATAGACAAATTCTCCAATAATGTACTTAAGTACTGTAACAAAGTAAATATGCTTAGTTATACACACCTATACACTTCCATGAAAAGCAAGGTAATAGTGTTTTTGGTCTCTTTAATTTATGCAAATGTTATGCTAATTCACCACGTTTCTCCATCATTCAGCTATAAAAAAGCTCTTCAGATGGTGTTTTCTGCCATAGACCATGTTCCGTCTCACTCTACTGCAGCTGCTGTTGGCAGCAGGATGTAAGTCTTTTGATTTGTTTAAATAGCTCATGGTTGTTGCAGACTAACTGATAAATTAAAATGTCTTTCTTTTTCCCAACAGATGTAATGTCTGAACAGCTGACCCAGTCAGCCTCTTTAACTTTGCAGCAAGGCCAGCAACTAACCATCAGCTGTCAGGTTTCTTATTCTGTGGGTAGCCATCATACTCATTGGATCAGGCAGCCACCAGGGAAAGGGTTGGAGTGGATTGGAGGGGCTCGTGTTGGATATAACCCCTACCAGAAAGATTCTCTAAAAAGCAAGTTCAGTTACAAATTAGACTCTTCCAGCAACACTGTTACTCTGAATGGCCAGAATATGCAGCCTGAAGATTCTGCTGTGTACTATTGTGCCAGGCAGTCACACTGATATAAAACATTAGCGCAGCTGTACAAAAAACCCTCAGAGCATAAGCATATAAACCATGAACCCAGCAGAGGTGGAGCTCTCACCACACTTGTAAATTTAGACTTGCTGGTAATCAAAAGTCATCTTGTAAATATCCACAGAAATGGCAGGAAAATATGACAAACTTTGTTTTTGGAGATCACTGCAATGCATATTAGAGAGTGAAAGCCCCGGATGACCAGACCATGCAATGCCATGTCATGCAATACATAAACCAGCAGAGAAAAAATAAGATAGCAACAATTACAATGTAGGGGTTTCTAAAAAAAGCACCGAGGCTAAAAAACAACTCACAGTAACTTAAATACTGCGGAATAAAAGGTTAATAAAGGGCTTCCTGTTTATGTCACTGGGTGGAAACAGAATATTTTCAAGAACTATATAGATATCCAATTACTGATTCCCAAACTAAAAAGGGACGCTATGTTTACAAAGAAATAATACCCTGTAGCAATAAGTAAAAAGAAAAAAAAGAAGAGATCCGAGTAGGTGTTTAGATATTTCTTACAACTGTAGTATTAGTAATTAGAGAAAAAGAAGTTTTGCGCCATGCAAAAGTTCTAAGAATGTTTAATGCATTAATCTTGGTTAAGCTGCCTGAATTTGACCTATTTTGTTACAGCTATCTTCCCAAAGATTCAAAAGGTTTCACATGTCATAGAGTTTTATCTTTTTCTCTATCATCCCATGCATTAACTTTGCAAATGAGAACTTAATAAATAGTAGCAGGAGTTGCCTCAGATGCAAGCAGCTGTAGGCTGAGATAGAACATAGGAGGCTTGAAGTAATTGGAGGAGACCAGAATTGGAGGATTGGAGGTTAACTTTAGGTGGAGCTATCATGATCTGCCCTGATAGCTCACCTTAATTGTTCATTTCAATCACCTGCCTACATCTCATCTCATCCACCTGCTGATTCAGCTTTATATTCGGCTCAGCCCAGCTATCGCGGCCAGATCATTGTTTCTTTTATGCCTGTTAGTTTGTCTGTTTTTTAATTTAGTTTATTCCATGGTTCCTGTCTTTGTTCCTGGCGGCCATTTAACCGGTTTAACATTTAACTGGTAAATTGCAGCAAGACTCTGCTCTCTGAAATAAGCTGTTTCAACAGCTTATGGCTTGGTGCCTCAAGCTTACAGGCAGAGGTTTTTTAACTGAGAGAAAACAGGTAACCAGACTCATTCATTCATTCATTCATTCATTCATTCATTCATTCATTCATTCATTCATTCATTCATTCCTTCATTCATTCATTCATTCATTCATTCAGTCAGTCAGTCAGTCATTCAGTCATTCATTCATTCATCAGGGAGCAGGGAAGTCTTTTCCTGGTCACATTGCTGTATACATCAGTTAAGACTATTTCCCAGGCATCTAGGCTGGCAGATGAGTATGTGCTTACAGTAGACACAGGGGGGCCATGAGTTCCACTTCTGGGAGGATTAAGGTTAATGGAGAGCAAGGAAATTTAATCTGGAAGGTTATATGAAGTGTCAGGATGTTGTGGGCATGGATTAGCACGTTACCCATGAGTTGAAGTACTGTAGCATGATGATATCTATTATAGGTCAACTATTCAAACATACAGAAAACGTAACATGACAATCTTGTTAGGCAGGTATCCGTGGCACCTGTTCTAGCTTTAAAGCCCTTCCCTGGTGACAACCCGGCAAACCATCCAGGTAACAATTAAAACAAGTGTATTTGTCATACCCTTTCCTACTATTCTCTGCCCCCAGAGGCCTGAAGAATAGTTAAATTAGAGCTCTTAGATTAAATTGGAAAAAAAAAAAAAAAAAAAAATATATATATATATATATATATATATATATATATATATATATATATATATATATATATATATATAAAAAATAAATGTATCTCAAAGATGTTATTGCATCTGATAAACTTCATTTTGACTCATGACTTTTTTATTGCAAATACAGTCAATAAGTTACTTCTGAATGTTAAACATTATACATAAGGACCAGGGGTGTAATTCACACCCATCATGACGATTCGATTCAGTATCGATTTCCTGACCCAGCGATTTGATTATTTTCGATACTCAGGAATACACCACGATACGATTCGATTCGATTAATTGGTTCAAATGTTTTTATTTATTTATTTTTTTTTTACACCTTACAGGCTAGACAATGTTTTAAAATAAATCAATGGAAGCTGCAGTAACGTTGTGCTTTTTTTTTTTTTTTTTTAGAAACAACAGCAAATAACAGAAGTAGAAAAGTTTACTCCGCATATTCCTATTAAAACCTCATTCACTGAAAAATAATAATACCCCTGCGTTATAGATTCTGAAAGGCCTTGCATAAAAAAAATACTGCACAAAATCAGTGTAATGAGTGCAATGCAATACCTTGGCTCCAGACGTCCCCGCCCCCTCCACGGACGCTCCGCTGCACCTCTCCCAAATTGTAGCTGACCGCAGACAGGAGGCCGGTTTGTTTTGTTTTTATGATCGAAATTGCGGAAAACACCTCGTGAAGTTTGACCCGCTAGAAGAGCGAGGTGCGCGAGAACTCTGGGACCCTTATTCCACCTGGATCTCCGCTCTTTTTAGCCCTCATGTCCCTCCGTTGTCGGACAAACTCGCCCCCACTTCCTCACCGCCTCGACCGTACCTAGACCCACAGTGTGTAGCACAAACCAAGCTTCCATTTAGAGCATAAATAAAAAAAATTCTGTGTCAAGCCTACTGCAACACACTGCTGCAAGAGTTCACGACCATAGATTAGGGTAGGAATGTAAATCGAATGGTAAATAGAGAGCTCTGATTTTTGGCTCAGCTCTGTCTTTACCATAACAGACCGGTACAGCGCACGCTTTACAGCAGAAGCCACTCCAATCCGCCAGTCAATCTCCCGTTCCATCTTCCCCTCATTTGTGAACAAGACCCCAAGATACTTAAAATCCTCCACTAGGGGCAGTGCATCCTCCCCAACCTGGGGAAGTCACTCTACCCTTTTCCGGCTCAAGACCATGGTCTCGGATTTGTAGGCACTGATCTTCATCCCGGCCGCTTCACACTCGGCTGCGAACCACTCCAGTGAGAGCTGTAGGTCACTCCCTGATGAAGCAAATAGAACCACATCATCTGCAATGGTGGAAAATGTTTTTCTCATTTTAGTAAAATAAGAAGCACCAAAAACAACGTTGTGCACATTTGTGGGCTGGGCTGTTTGATCCTCCCTCTAATGCAAATCAGTTCTGTCTTTAAGGTATTTCTGTCCCCCAGAATTATTGTTTCATTTGCAGATAGGACTATTGTGTTAGGATAATGAACAAAATCAGTCTTTTGTTGCTTGTTATCTCTCTGTCATGTAAGATATTCTACTTGTTTAGTTTATTGACCCACCATTGTAGTTAAATTGTATAATAAACTGCACATTATTTTCTTTATTCCAGGTTGTACAGGTCAGAGTATGGAATCCATTCCTTCCAGTCCAGTGGTGAAAAAGCCTGGAGAGACTTTGAGTTTGTCCTGCAGAGGTTCTGGGTTCACCTTCGGTTCTTTTGGCATGAGCTGGGTCAAACAACCTGCAGGAAAAGCACTTGAATGGATGGGATATATATATACAGATGGATGCAACACAGATTATTCCAGTACTTTTCAAGGTAGAATAGAGATCACCAGAGACAACAGCAACAGCATGTTGTATCTGAAACTGTCCAATTTAGGACCAGAAGATTCTGCTTTGTATTACTGTGCCAGAAAAGCACAGTGATCAAAGTGGGTGGATAGGCTGAACAAAAACTCAACAGGAACTGTTCAGACATTAAACACATAGTGGCAGTGTGGACAAGGAACAGAATCATCCTCACTCAATGGAATATAAAGTTACTTTACTCTTTGCCCTTATTTTTTCCTCAGATAGAAAACTTTTGATCAATCTGAAAAAAATCTGGTTGGGTGGTCTTTGTGGATTACCTCAAGGGGGCACGTGTTGTGGATTGGTGTTCTATAAATAAACTTAATTGAATAAAAGTTTTGTAATGCACCTTTTCTCTGTGTGTATATATATATTAGATATATATATATATATATATATATATATATATATATATATATATATATATATATATATGATATATTCAATCTAATACCATGTGGTGTTAGGTTCAAACTTTTCAGCCTTCCTTAATTATTTGCACATTAGTTTATGTTTATGTTAAAGTTTTAGCTTTTACTTATCTGTCAGCAAACTCTTCCTGTAGTAGCTACCTCTACTGTTTGTCTAGGTTACACTTGTGTGCTAAAAATCACCGTCTTTCATTAAAAATGTTCTGCATGCAAAAAAAGAAGAATCTCTTGTTTATATTTCTTTCTATAACATGTTTATGAACTGTGTCTTACAACATATTTATGTACAGATTGTACATGGACATTTTTGGAATGGACCGATAATTCACTTTGAAGTGGACTGAAAAAATGGTAACCAGTGGAATATTGAAGAGCAGATTTAGTGAACCTTAAATATGAAATATTAATGACATTATTGTTATTAAAAATTCTGTTGATTATCTTGTTTCTTTTTTAAGAAATTAAAATACCAAAAAAAATCTTTATTTAATTTTGGTTAAATAAGAATTTTAAACCATAGAGCTTGAAAAACCAATATAGTAAATCTTGTTTTTTATATATATATTTAATGCTAAAATGATAAACATATCGGAATAAGTAAATCAACTTCATTAACTGTTGTGTTTCTTTTATTTTTGCTTTCACCTTCCCATCTGAGGGTGGAGTAGGTTTTAGTACTAAGGTTTTTTACTGTGATATACTGGGGTGGCACACAGATATACACCAATACAAAAACCTCAGAATAGAAACCTGAGAAAATAATCCTTCAGTATGCAGAGAAAAACTGATAGAAAACTATGTTTATTTGAAGAACATCAGGTAAGTGTTATATGCATCTATATTGATTTGAGAAGTTACACAATAAGATGATTAAATTAGTTATACTGAGAAAATGATTCTGAGTGAACCTTCATTCAAAAATCCGATTTAGAATCAACAACTTTATATTAAAACTATTTCACAACTATACCAGGCTCACTAAGACTTATTCTAGATAAATTCAAGATATTTAATCTATGTTTGTTTGTTACACAAATGATAAAATTTTTCTTGCTGCTGCTTTGGTGTTTTCAGGTTTTTGTTAATGAAGTCATTAGAGATGTAACACTGTGATGGTGCTTTTGACTACTGGGGAGATGGAACTAAGGTTACTGTTGTTCCAGGTAAGAAAATAAAATATATTATTTAAATGCCGCTTCTCCTGCTTTTCCTTTAAAATATTTTTATGCAAAATTTGGATTTATAGTTGATTCTATAGTTAGTTATGGTTATAGTATAATGCTAAAACTAACTGTTAAAATAAAAAAAAACTCATAAAATGCGGCATCATGCAATATAATAAATTTCTTTTTATTTTAGTTTTACTCTCAGACTGTATTTATTGCTTAGTTTGGACCAGATCACAGTGCAGCGAATAATGAAAACTTGTTGACAGCTGGAATCTGTACTAAATGTATATGAATATTGTTTTGTCTGATCAAAACAAAACATTATCTGTCAAAAGTTTTTTAAAGCATAACAGTGTGAAAAAGTAAGTTTAAATTGAGCTAATAAATAATGGGAAGTAGATGGAAAATATATATTAATACTGAATAACTAAATGGGCTCATGCCGATTTGAATCACTAATGATATAGTGGGTATTTCATTTTTCATTACCTCCTGTCACCAGTAAAATAAAACGTTAATTCAGTTTTAATAGTTAAATTAAATGTAAGTTAAATTGAACATTTTCATACACATTTTTCTTATATTGTGAATTTTCCAATTAGATGAAACAATAAACAATATACGCTAACATAGATGGAATACATGCACTTAGTTTTTTGTTTTTTTTGTAATCATAGCATCTAAACTATATTATCATGTTCTGGTTGAGACAAGAAACAACAATGTTAAAGTAAAATGATTAAATAAATCCAGCAGATGCTAGATTTTTTTTCAGCTCATATTTGCAACAATGAAGTGGGCTTAGAAAACTGAAAACTGTTGTTTTCTTTTTCTGACTGAAGCCTTACAGAAAAATACTGTTATGGAAAACAATAAGGTGTAAATAAGTTTTTTTGTTTGAGACAGCAACAGAAGGAAGAACAGAAATTAGTGGAAGTTGTGATCCAGCTGCTGAAACTAAGGGTGTAGAAGAAAGTGAAATGTCCGTATTTGCTTTACTTTTGAGAAACAATGTATAGTATAAATCTGATAGCACAGCTGAAGTGTGAAGATTTTATAACTTCTTAGAGTAGAAGCTTTACTTAATGAGTAACATAAAAAATAGTATATATTTCCCAAAATCAGATACAACTTTAAAAAAAACTGAATAAAACACATTTTATTTTGACAATTTAATTTAATGCCAATTCATGCTAAACCATTTGGCTTTTGAATACTTTTCAGTTTATGAAAATGTTTGTAATATTCAAAACTTAGAGGAAGTGTATGAATATTAAACTCAGAGGTATATAGATGTATAAAAAGTCCAGCAGAGACAGAGTTACATAGCTAATAGTTAAAGTATATATAATGCGTCGCATTGGAATTTATTGCAGTAAAAATATTATTTAATGAAGTGATTAGCTCTATCATAAACCTGAGGGTGCATTTTTATAGGACAATAAAGAAAAAAAGATATTAGATTTAACATGTTTAACCACAGTAAAATGGCTTGGTCTTGAATATTCTGCATTTTGCATACCTCTCAATTTATGAAGTGAGATCAAGTTTATTTTTTTTTTTGGAAAGATGAGACTGTGTAAAACAAACATCCTCAGTAAAGTCAACCTTTATCCGTACAACCTGTATACAGTATACTGTCATAAACATTTTTTTTTACTATTTCAAAATTATTTAGTCAATAATTAACAAAAATGCTGGAATGTCTTATGGACAGAAAATATTAATTTTATTTGGCAACTCATTTCCTGTTCAACTGAACATCTCTTTTTCCAAATTAAATCTTGTTGTCTTCTTGCCGTCACAGGCGGCCCTGATGTCCCTCCGACTTTGTCTATTTTGAGTCCCCTGAAGGATTCTCGCTACCCCCCGAAGACAGCAGATGAACTTGGTCCAGATGTCTGTCTGGTCACAGATTTCCGTCCGAAGGGGGACGACGTAAATCTGAATGTGAAAGGTGGTCAGGTCAACGTCAGCACAGATAATGCTGTTCTGTCAAACAACACCTACGTGTTTGTTGCCTACAGCAATGAAACCATCCACTCCTGTGACATGAACGGAAAGTTCAGCAACAACGAAGCTGGTAACAAACTATTAAAGTTCTGTCTTTAGTTCTGATTAAACTTTTGATTTCATAGAGATGAAACTGTCACCTGCTTAAAAATCTTTCTATGATAAAATAATTTTTTGAACATAATTTTTTTTTCCTGCTATTCAGAAAAAGCCCTAAAATATATACAGTAATAATTAGGGTATAAAGCTCATGTTTTCATCACACGTTTCCACAGACATATCAGCAAAAAGTCCATCAGAGTTTGAGCAATTATTATGTGACTGATGTTCTTTCTGTGTCCTAACAGATTATGCATGTAGAAGCATTTATCCAGGTAAAACTGAACACTTTCTATCTCAGTCTGTTTTCATCACTGATCCTTGTATTCAGGTCTTAATGTTTAGTCTGAGCTCTGTTTATTTGCACTCCAGAAAAAGCCAAGCTGAACTTCTACCTGCTGCTGATGAACGGAGTCCGGGTGGTTTTCACCAAAGCTCTGGCCTTCAGCACCGTCCTCACTATCAGAGGTCTGCTCTTCTGAGGATCAAAAAGAGACAGATTTCAAATCTGAGATTCTTCCTCCAAGATGTGTTTATATTTTGATAAGATTTAAAAATCTTGCAGGCAAACCAACCAATACAAAGATAAATAAAGGCCAATTCATGTAATGAATTTTTTCACCTCTGTACAGAAATACATTTTATTTGGTTTATGTATATTATGCAATTTGTCTCTGAAAAAATATATGGTTCAATCTTTGAATTCAGTAAGTTTCAATTTCATATTAAAAATGTTTGTGTCTCAATTTACGTAATAAAATTTAATAAAATAAATAATAATCAAGACACCTTTGCAAGATAAACTCATTTTAAATATTTAAATTTATATGCATGTAGTTTAATAGTCATAGACAACCATTCTGAAGATTTTTATTTTACGGATATACCTTTTTGAGATTTGTTTATGGAAATAGTATATACAATAGTTTTGAAAAGTCCTCAAAGCCTCTTTACTCATTCATATATATCAATACAATCTTTATAAATACAGAAACTTAGCTAAAGTTTCTGTATATATATATATATATATATATATATATATATATATATATATATAGATATATATATATATATATATATATATATATATATATATATATATATATATATATATATATATATATATATATATATATATATATATATATATATATATGTAGTTATTTGATGTCTTTCGCAAGCATTTTCAGCTTTTTTCATTTAAATTTTTCATTTATTTTAAATATTAAAATAACTTTGAGTTTTACCTTTTCAGAGCAGTGGTATGGTGTGCACTCTTCCCATTGAGTTCCACTCCATTTTATCTTTTACCTTTTACGGTTGGACAGTTGTTGAAAGACAACTAAAATGGGCCTTTAGCTAAGTTTCTGTATTTATAAAGATTGTTTTCTTTTGTCTGATAATTTTAATGCTTTTATGCACTTTTTAATATGCCTTAACAATATGTTTTTTAAAACTAAATTAATGTCCTGCAGCCATTATTGTATTATTTACTTTGCTAATGTAAAGGATTTTGTTTTAGTATTTGAAAGAGATGATGAAGGGATATTGCAGATGAAAAGTCACATCTAATTTCTTTAGCACAACGGTTTCATCAGTTGAAACCATGTTTCTACAGGAAGTTAAGGTTGGAGATGTAAATCTGACTGAAACCAAAAAGCAGCAAAGTTTCACATCAGCAGAGAAGGTTTTGGTTAACCTCAGCCAGCCCTTTCTTCCTTTCACACAAACTTTTTCAAGCTATTGAACTGTATGTTAAATTACGGTGTGTTTCTAAGTATTATAAATAAAATATTACAGACATGTTTGTTAAAAGCTTTATGTCTAAGGAAACATGATGTATTACATCCAGTCATTGATTTTGTGGAGTTTGGAGAGTCACTTGCATTGTGTCACTGACTTTGAAGCAATTCTTCACACCATGCATGCATAGAGCAACAAAGGAGAGGATTTCTACCCGACAATCCTTAACAATCCTTACCCAGAATCCTTAAACAGAACCAGGCTCAGCGTTAATGGCCTTCTGCAAAGAAAGACTGGTGGTTTGAAAAGACAGAGCTGCCACAAGGGAGAGAGAGGGACAGATTAAAGAATGCTTTGAATGTTTAAACAAGTTAATGGCAGACTAACTCCATAGGTGGCTTTATCCTGCAAAAAAACACAGTTGAGCAGATGAGCTAATCTAGAGAAAGAAAGAGGCCACATACAAGATTTCACAGTAAAAACTGAACCAATAAGAGAATTGAGGTCCAATTTAACTGAGTGAGGGAAAGTGGTCTTTATGTCACCCGGCAGCCTACTGTAATATAAAATATAAAAAGAGTTTATTTTATATTTACTTTCATTCGCTATAAACGCAAGTCATATTATTTCATGTCTAAATAAAATGTTTCTATTTCCAAAAACTTTCTTAGATCACTTTTACTGGATGTTTACTTTTATATTTTGTTGGATAGAGATATTTGAACCTTCATTCTAAAGGTCCATTTTAGAGAGATGAACTAGATTTGTGGGTTTTATTTAGCCACTTAAGGTAAATACAACATGATAGAACTTTTTTGTTTTTTTTAGGCATTTAGAAAGAAAAAAGATGATCTTTGCAATTATAATGGAAACAATGGAAGTTTGCTAAGCAAGCCTTATGTAACATCTGATTTTAAGATGTGTTGAAAGGAGGATTTTATGCAAAACAAGCAGGTAACACCCATATTTCTACAGTTGATTTAACTGGGTCCGGCAGAAAGCATACAGGTGATCAAATAATGACTTCAGGTCAGGACTGCTTATCACTATGTGCTCTGTAGGTGAAAAATTTAAAATTTTATCAAATGGTTAATTTCTTACACCTATATTTAATGTGAGTGCTTGTCAAAACTCTTTGAGACTCAGACCAGTATCTAAAAACTTCTACAAACTAACCTGTACAGGTTCTGGATTCACATTCAGCAACTTCTTTATGCACTGGGTCCAAGAGGCTCCTGGGAAGGGACTGGAATGGGTGGCCACTATTGATCATCTCCTGACACAACAAAAGACGGCAGGTGTATCTGCAGATGAACAGTCTGAAGACAGAAGATTCTGCTGTTTCTTACTGTGCTAGAGGGCCCCCAGTGATTCCATCTGGTTCAACAGGACAAAAACCCACAAGGTTGAAGTGTTGTGATAAAGACAAAAAGATTTTTGCCCGCTATGGGGCTGATCTTTACTGATTCCAAATAAGAGGTACTACTGGAATAAGTGGGTGATTTGTGAGGAATTGAGAAAGATTGCTGCGCAAACTGATTTGGTTCTACCCATTAAAAGGAGCATGTTCTAAAGGCAGGTTGAGAGTGGCCTTAAAATAAAGATGAGATTCAAAGACATCGAAATAGAGAAAAATATATACATCGAAAAAATAATAATGATAATACTAATTATAATATTTTAATTGTGTTTTTTCTTAAAGCACTACAAACATGACTGGGCCTCGTGTATGGTCATGTTTAATTAAATAGAAGGACAAAAAGAGATGTGTTAGAAACACGACTCTAATATTACCATGGTATCATGTCAAAAGTACTCTTTTTCACAAGAGACAGGACATTTCCCATTTATTTTTATCAGACACTGACTGATTATAAACCAGCTGATCTTGACAATCCTACAGACTGTTAGGAGACAAAGAAAAAATAAACAAACCGGTTTATCTCCCAATAAATAGCTCAACAAATCAGGATCATGTTGTTTGTTACTGTGCCTTAGGCCCATATTACCAGAGAAAATAGAAACACGTTGTAAAACCTCCTCACTGATTCAAGACTTTTGACAACAGGGCACCACAAGAGCACCACGAGACCACTGAAGCAATGCCAAAAAAAGTTAATTTCTATAAAATGTTATCTGAACGGTTCAAACACAACCAACCTAATTGGGGTAATACTTCTCTAAATTACTGTTTACATAAACTAATCATCAGCATTTACACAATAAAATTTGCATCCATTTTATCCAATGTTCCGTTGCCCAGCGTAATATTAGAATTGATCTGCTTTGCAGAATGAAATACATTATAAAGGATATGACTGTGAGCCTTAATTTAATGTAATAAATTTAAATAAAATGTAATCATCGAAAAGTGAAGTTTCTGACTAAAATAGTCCACAATTGAAGTATTAATTCCACCTTTAGACAGCCTCTTTATGACATGTCTCTTCTTTGATGCATATCGGAAGAAATCGCTGTGACTTCAGTTAGAACAAATATGATGTTTTTGTCTCTGTTTCCCTGAAAGGATTAAAAATTCCTTTGGGATCCAAAATATTAAAAAACATAAAACACATCTTAAAATAGTATATAGTTTTATAATATAAAATCTGTCACTAATTAAATCTTGCCTAATGATTATTTCTGAATATTCAAACGTATCTAAATCAGAAGCAGCTGTGGTTTTATTTTGAGGAGGAGTTCATGTAACACATGTTTCTTCCTGCTCTATTTATTGGCAGAAGAAAACAGCAAAGACACAATTAAACATGTTGTGCTGTAGGACAGGACTACTGCTGATCACCATCTGCTGGGCAGGTAAATATATAAATGTATCTTTACTAAACCTTTCTTATAAATCAGTCATTTCTCACATTTTTGCTTTTTGCAGGTGTTTCTGGACAGACTCTGACTGAGTCTGAACCAGTAGTTAAAAAACCTGGAGAATCCCACAGACTGACCTGTACAGGCTCTGGATTTACATTCAGCAGCTATCCCATGAACTGGGTCAGACAGGCTCCTGGAAAAGGCCTGGAATGGATTGCTTTTGTGCACACTGGAAGTTCTCATTTCTTTTACTCCCAGTCTGTTCAAGGCAGATTCACCATCTCAAGAGATGACTCTAGCAGTAAAGTCTATCTGCAGATGAACAATCTGAAGACTGAGGACACAGCAGTGTATTACTGTGCCCGAAGAGACACACTGCAAGATATAAATAGGGGAGTCATACAAAAACTACTTCCTTTATTTCTTACCACTACTGTTGATGTTGCAGTTTTTTTCTCTCTCAATAGGTCTTTGAGAATTTGGAAGAATTCATACAAAAATTTAAAAAGTTTAGTATTTACAAAAAGAGGAGCTAAAAAGATTAAAGATAAATTCAATTCTGGTCAGAAAAATGTATTCAAGTAATAATAACCTATACACACCTTCAATTTTGTCTAGGTATTGCATGCACTTACTGTTGGGAGATTATATTATTTCTAAAGGCCAAGAGATGTTCACAATACAAAGCATCTGATTTAACAAAGCATTGCTATTAAATGTTCTTAAGGAGCTCTGCCATGCTTTCTTTATTACTATTTATAAATATGCAAATATTCAATCAAAGACATATCACAGACATACAGACTGATTGATTGATTGATTGATTGATTGATTGATTGATTGATTGATTGATTGATTGATTGATTGATTGATTGATTGATTGATTGATTGATTGATTGATTAATTGATTGATTGATTGATTGATTGATTGATTGATTGATTGATTCAGGGACTACAGCCCATTGAGAAATAGTTGGTTGAAAAGACATTGAAAAGACAACATGATTTGGAGAAAGGTCAATACAGCTGCTTGTTTTCAGGATCTTGTCCAGTTGGTCATGATCCTGATCTATCAATCTCCCACTCCATCCCCCCCTCACTCATGACCTGAAGATACTTGAGCTCCTCCTCTTGGGGCAGGAACTCTTATTAGACCTGAAACCACCTTTTTTTTTGTTGGGGGGGTGGGGGGGGGGGG